CTCCGTGTGTGCGTTGGCGCCTGCGCCCGTCAGGTTTGGCCCGTCCGCGCAGAACGGCCCATCAAATTCCTCCGCCGACACACTCTTCGCAGAGGAGGGAGGGAGGTACAGCAACAAAAACGCCGGTCTCATTCCTGCCTCTGAATGGACGGCCGCTTGCGCCACCCCAATGCCGGCGGCGAGGACCGGTCCCGCTTCCGCCCGCAGCCCCTCACGTACGAGAGCGGACGCACCGCTGCCTCGACAGGTGCAAGCGGCCCCGTGGTGCCGGAAACCCGGCAGGCTGAGGCCAGTGGCTTCAGGATGCGGGGCGTCGCCGTCCCACCCATCACACAATGCAACGCATTCTCGTCATCCCGCTTCATGCTCAGCGCCAGAAGCTTCGCCAGAGTGGGGCCGGCGGCGTTCCACACCCCCGCTCGGCAGCAACATGGTGCGGATGGCGCTGCTGACGGAACCGCAACGCGCGCCACCAAAGCCCCATGGTGCCGCGATGTGCACCAGTAATGCGCGGCTGGTCCGGGCGCTGGTCGATGCTGTCCGCCCCGCGCCAACAGCAATTCCATGAGGGAAAAACCACTGGTTCTTGACTTTCCCGACAATGCAGGATGCAGGACCCCGGCACCATGATGATGTGTCCCGCATTATCAGGGACTTGGGGCTCTTGTCACACCTGCCTTATGTTTTTTCAACCTTGTGGTGCGTGTGCTTTTGTTGGGTATATGTGTGTCCTTCAGTTCCTGGCTATGCACGCCACATGCTGCAGCAGACATCTGCCTTTTTTCCCCTTTTGTTGCTATCAGGCGACGGTGACAGGTCAAGATTAAAGAGGAGAAAAAATTTGAATTTGGTTGATAATTTTTCCGGTGAAGGTAACGGGAAGGCAAGAAGCGGGGGGTGGGGATGCAACAAAAAGGAAGAAACGAGAGCGAAAAAGGCAGAAAACGCCAGACAAAGCAGCTAAAGAGCTGCCGAAGCGGCGCTGTTAAGGGAATCGGCATCCTTTTCATCCTCTTCCTCTTCATCGTTGTCGGTGTTGCTTTCACACTGGGATGGGGTCGAGCTGCCTTCGCTGCGCCGTCTTTCAGTCAGCCTCGTAGGGCCCTCGCTCCTTTCGCGGCTCTCAAGCGCTGGTGTCACCTCATTTTTTATCAAGTTGTAAAGTGACTCTGTGATATAGGCCGCAACGCGATGGTAGCCGGCCTCTCCTATCCACCCGTTTCTGCAGTTCCGCTGCTCTAACGGCATGTCGGTTGCCGGCGGCACCCTCAGAAGCAGATCTCTCAAAAACGCATCGTCACTCAGATCAACAATTTGAATGGCGACGTAAAGCCTTCCATCTTGAATGAGCTCGCAGAGTTTCGCAATAAATGAACCCCGGGAAGGGCACGGCAAAACATTCAAGAGTTTTGCATCGGCGTTTTCCGTCGCTTGAGCGTGTTTTTTTTCTATTTCCCCCAGAACGTCCGCGATATGAGGAACGCGGCTGATGTCACGCAGTAGTGTGCCTAGTTCCGAACGGCGATTGATCTTCAACACAATCCGCTGCAGCGAGGCTGTTTTGTGACTGGCGTAAGGGTCAAACCCAATCCTAATGCGCAATCTGCTAAAAGGGCCATTCTTAATCAAATAAGTCAGACATGACATGGCTTTTTTGTTGATGTGTCTGCGCGGGCAAATTCCAGACTGAAGAACGGCGTCCAAAAGCTCTTGCGCAATCCATACAGGACGCTCTTCCAGGAGCTTTTTCGTGGTTCGTACTTCCACGCATTCCTTCTCGGCATCCCCGCCATTCAGGCGGCGTAGAAGATCCTTCTGTGCGGGGAGCATGGGGGGTGGAATGCTAGAGTCGGTGGCCATGACGGACAACGTAGGCATGACCTCAAAGTCCCACTCCAACGGCCCCTCCTCTTTATCGTCTCGGGTGACATCACCTCCTGGCGGCTTTGAAACCTCCAGTTGAAAGTGACCGCCGAAATCACATTCGACCTCAAACGGATTCTTCTCCGCCACAAAATGCGCCGGCGGAAATAAATTCCCGCTGCAGAGCGCCGGCGCAGCCGCCAAAACATCTTTTGAAAAAGGGCCGAAACAAAAGTCGGCGGGCCGAACAAGGTCTACTTCACGCGACACCACGCCCACCACCGTCGCCTTCGACTGGCTGGAGCCCTCATCCTCTTGGAGAAACATCTCCTTCACAACCCGACCACTGACGGGATCCCGTAACCGCTTCACGCGCCGAGTGCGCGTCACCTCCAGAAGTACATCGTTTCTATAGAACCCTTGAAGTAAAACCTGTGGCGTAAATGAAGGGAACGACTCACGCAGCATTTTCTCTCGTTCACACTTTCCCTCCTCGCCCGTAAGTCCCAAAAGAATTTGCTTGCTGTCCTTTGCTTGCATGTTATCTGCTTCTGCCTCAAAGTCCAGTGGACGCCAGCCAGAAAAGACCTCACCCGTGTAGTATTCCGACGCAGAGGCAATCGCCGCTCGGTGTTTAAACTGTTTCTTCCCAATTGCTACACTCCCCGTTGGAGTCTTCGCCGTTTCCCTTCCTGTTCCCTCCCCAAAACTGGGAAAGATCTCATCAAGGGTAGGACGTAAAAATGATGGCGGTACAAAGGCCTCCACCATTCGACGCTCCTCCTCTTTTAGCCCGTTGCCATCCGATATGGGAGACCTTCTTGTGGTCACAGGGAGGCAAAAAGGGAGCTCCACCGAGACAAAGCGTCGATGCGGTGCCACACCTGACATTGTCTCCCACACTTACTGAACAGGGGGCGAGCAGATTCATAGGTGTAACATGTATGCACACCGAGCAAGCAGCAACAAATACATATAAGTAAAAAAAAAAAAAGGAGTCCAATAGGCAAAGCTTCAGGGGGAACACACCGAGATGCCAGTAATAAATCCGCTTCCACACATCATGAAAAAGAGAAGAAAAGGATGAAAAAAAAAAAATAAATAAAAGAGAGAGGGAGAGACAGACAGAAAGGAAGGCAGCATCCAACTTCCGCTTCTTCATCTTCGTCCCTCCCTTTTCCCCTCATTGTTTACCTTGTGCATTTATTTTCTTTTAAATTTTCAGGCAACCACCGAAAGCCACCCAAAAAGCAAAACAAAACAAAAAACAGCTTCTTCCTTCTATTCTCATAATACATAATTTGGAAACATGGATGGCAAAAAACAAACAATAAGAAAAACAACAACAACAACATCAGATGTAAAAAGGGAAAAGTGCACAGCGAAAACGGGGCAACAACAACAACAGCAGCAAAAAAACTGACCCACTAGATTACATTCTTTGACCCCGCAATGGAACGACGCTGCCTGTGGTGCCGGTATGCACGTTGAATTGTGCTGGCGGCCTCGTCCAAAACTTGCTGCACTTTGATCGTTCTCCTCTCTTCTCGTAGTTGCTCGGCCATATGCTGCGCCCAAATTCGTCGCCAGAAGGACTGAAGTTTGGTGGCTGCCCGATCGTAAATTTCTTCATCGAGCACTTTATGCTGCTGTTCATACGCCATCTGCTTTCGCAATTGTTCCCACTCCCGCCGGACCAAGTTTCCACGAAAGTGTGCCTGAATGATGACGGCCGCCCGACACTCCCTCTCCGAGGACTTTTGCATCTCCCGCGACCGGTATTGGATCCAGTAGGCTTGGATTGTTTTCGCCGCATGTGTTTCTGCTTTCTCGCGGCGCAATTTCGCCAACTGCCTTCTGGCAAGCCATTGCCGAATCCCCCTCTGAATCACTTTGGCGGCTCTGCGACGCGCATTGGAGTTCTCAAGAGAAATCTTTGCCAAGTCACGCCTTGTGGTAAACTCATACACCCAGAATAATTGTCTAACCACTTCATGCGGATCAACTGTGGTTAAATGTTCCATTTCCTCCTCCAGCGCCTTTGCGCGCTTTGCGGCACGCCGAGCATTGGCCTCACGAATGGCCCTCCACGATCGATACGCACATTGAATGATAACCGCACTACGCTTCTCAAGAGCCTCACGATGGCGTTTTCGGCGTTCTTCTTCTTCCTTTTCTCTTCTAATTCCACGCGCGTAGACTCGCTCATAGTGGCCGCGGTACACTGCCTGTATTTTAATGGCGGCTCCATTTCGACTCAAAAAACGTTCCCTTTCCTTATCCGTTAAGAGCGTGAGAAGTTGTTTGCGTTTGCGAGCTAACAGCTGCTGCTGAGCCAAGCAAACACGAAGAGCCGTGTTGACAAGTGTCACTGTATTCTCCCACCTCTCCATGTAGTGAAGTTGGAGCGCCATCTCCTCTCTTCGTTGGTTTCGAAGTGTCTCGAGTTCCCACTTCGCCAAAAAACGGCGCCACCAGGACTGTATTACAACCGCCTTCGCCTGACGAAGTCGGCTCAACTCGCGCAATCGGGCAGCTTCCTCTGCGGCCATCATTTTTCTCCAAAAACACTGTACCGTGAGAGCAGCCCGAGAGCGAGACATACGTTCATAGGAGCGCCGCTTCACTTCCGCATTAATATTCCGGCGGAACTTACGTGTTCGCCAGGCTTGTTGGATCTTCACAACATGCACCACAAGCGCCTCTAACGACTTTCTTTCGCGCTCAAGTGCCATTCGTGTCGCACGTCCACGCCAAGCCGCCTGCAAAGTTACGGCAGCCTCCTCACGTCGCATATGGGCAAGTTTCTTTTGCCTTCTTATTCGGTGGTACCTGTCAAGTCGAACGAGCTCCAGCCGCTGGAGAAACTGACGCGCGGCTCGTTGCATAACAAGAACCGCACGTGTTTCCTTCTCCAACCGTTTGGCCTCACGAAGTCGAACAAGTTCCTTGCGACACACGTATCCTCTGTAATGCTTAGCAATAGACGCACTGGCTGCATGGCGTCGCCGCAACTGTTCCACAGTGTCTTTTGCCATGGCACAGCGCCATGCGCGTTGTACGACGCAGGCGGCTACCGTCCTTCGGTGGTCCTCCACGCGCATCCTGGATTCATAAAGGAGGCGGCAACGTATGCGGCACGCGAGTCGACGACCTGCATAACCACGTCCAATACGTTGAAACACTTCCGTATACAATGTGAAACGCAAAAAGGAGCTTCTCACACTCCGAACAAGCACGGTACTAATGAAACAACGTCCCCAAGCCTGCAGCAAAACTATAGACTGTGCCTGGAGAAGCGCCAGACGCTGTCGGCGGGCCAAGTAGGCGTGATATCGGGCTACCTCCTTTTCCTTTATATGCAACTTGCGATCATGGTACCACTGCTTAATCTTTGCAGCCGCATCTTGACGGCGATTGCGTTCATGTATTTCAAGGAATCGACGACGCAAAACGCACGTCGCGTACCACCGCTGAATCTTAGTTGCACGTCGCATTCGCATTTCATGCTCAGCAAGCAAACGCTCAAACTTAATACGAGCGACACGGCGACGCCATTGGCATTGAATCTTCGTCGCTGCTCGTCTTAACGCAGCCTGATGTAGACGATGCAAAAGATCCACCTCCTTGAGACGGCGGAGTTGAACAGCAAGAAGGACGCGAGCACAGGCTTGAATGAGGATGATCCGTTTTTGGTTCGCCGCCGACCTCAGCTCCTGCTGGCGGCGGTACAACTTGTAGTAACTGAACCAAGCCCGAGCCAAAACCCCACGTACCAGGGCTTGTATTTTTGCTGCCGCCCGTTCACTTCGTAGCAGCAACTCAGATGCCTTAATTTCCTCTTTTCGTCTCAAATAGCGTTTAAATGCCCATTGTATGCGCCGGGCAGCATTCATAGCTAATTGCATCTTTCTTCTCTCCTCTAAGCGTTGAGCTTCCATAAGGGCTGCGATGGTTTCTTCCTTCCATCTCAAATAGGCTCGGTACCCCCGTTGAATCCGCCGTGCGGAGTAGTACCGCCGCATCTTACGCGCGAAGTAGGCCCGCCGAATTTCTAACCGTCGAAGGAATTGCCGTACGCGTACCTGCAACACAATGGCAGCCCCCATTTCCTGCTTCTCTCGTTCGGCTTGAATTTTAGCAAGTCGTTCTTCTTCTGCGCGACGTGTGGCGATGAGCTTGACGAGATACACGCGGAATACACGTTGTATCTTTCGAGCCGCAACCACCATCAGATACAAAAGCGTACGGGCTAGGCATCCACGCCATATGCGCTGAATTTGTATGGCAGCAGAATGGCACCGGTTCAGTTTATCTGCACGCATCCCATTCACAAACTTTTCGTACAAGACTTCTGCCATTTCCGCATCATTTCGAGCTTCTTCTCTGGCAAGACGTTTTTGTTCCCGTTCCTTTGCCTTGGCGGCTGCGCTGCCTCTCCTTCCAGGGACATCCGCTCTCCGTTTTGCCTCTTCCGCCTTTGACTGCTGTAACATAGACCTTCGCACGTGTTTCTCCATCGCTTGAGCCTCTGACCCTGTCACACTTCGCAGTGACGTAAACACCGAGCTTCTCCTTTGTTGATCCTGCGACGCAACATTCCCAAAGACGCGGCGAGCAAATGGATTCAAAACTCCACTTGCCGTGACGGAATCAAATGAACCAGCTGTTTTTTGAGAAGGCCTCGGCTGCAGTACAGAACTAAGGCTTAGACGTTGCTCTCCCTTAGATGCGGTGTTGGTTGTAGTCGGCGTCGAATCAGCCTCCCGAACTATTGGTGCAAGCACCGCTGGCCGTGGAAGGGGTTGCTTTCCATCGCCGCTAGGGAGTCTCTGTGACTGAAACAGTGAGCTTCGTTGTCCTGTAGCGGTGGGAATATCCGCATGAAATGCGATGGATACACGGGATGAGGCCACCGCACGCGGAGCCGCAGGACCAGGCACTGTGTGTGCCTGCATCGGTACGGAGGCGCTGCGGAGAGATGCGGGTGTCCCCACGCTCGGGAGTGAAGAAGGAGCACCTCCACTCCAAGAAGTCACGGGAGAAGCAAACGGCACGGAAACCACGGAGCGTTCCGACGCCGGGCATGATATGCGTGAATGAATGCTTTGGCTCTGTGAAGCAGCATAAGCTACAGCCTCGGTGACGGGAACCAACGGTGAGATTGGAACCTTCGGTGGCTGCTGTTGCAACTGTGGCCATGACTTCTCCGGCGCTTCATGCAAATCTTTTGGAAGTGTCTGCACCAAATTCTGCTCTTCCTTTTCTTGTGACAACGGTTTTAACGGTCGTGTCGGATCGGAGGGCAGCTTTTTTCTTCGTTGCGATTTTGCTTCCACTCGATCCACATGAAATGCTGTTTCCGCATGCATGCGACGCACGGCCTCCATTGCCAGTTCAACGGTGGGACAATTGGGGTCCACAAAATGCCTCCGGCTCACCTCAAGGACACGATTGTATGCGGCACGGGCCTTGAAGTCGTCGTCATCACGACCGCGGTGCTCAAGCGAGACGCCCAAGTTGTACAAGCCGACCACCAGCATCATGGCGGACACTGGCAATTGTTCCTTGTTCTGCCGCGACATTTGCTCTTCAAGTGCTGCAATGGCGTTCTCTGCCGCGTTCACTGCTTCGTGGTGTTGGCTTAATTCATTCAGCACCGTGCAAAGGTTCAAATATGTCGACGGTGACCCACGCGAAGTGGTGTCCAGTGACACTTCAAGTTCCACAGCCTGTCGCAAGTACCCAAGTGACTCCTCTAGCCGCTGCCGCCGCTTCTCCATACAGCCGAGATTATTCAGCGTCGCTGCGCGAAGCCGCAACCTTCGGGACTCGGCGCCAATAAAATAATTTGCCTCATCCTTGCCACGCAAATCCGTCAGGAAAAGCGCCTTTCCGAGAAAGAACTCGGCTGCCAAAAACTGTTTTTCGTTGAATGCAGCCACGGCGTGGTTGTTGCAGCACAACACGAGATCCTCCGCCTGGTCCACGGTTCTACTGCGGCCGCGCGGAATGAGTTCCTCTGCAATAAGAGGCGCAAGCAGCGGCGTCACGGTCGCCTCGTTGACATGACGTAGCAGCAACGCGGACTCTGCGCACTTGACGCTCTCGACATAATTCCCGTGTTTATCGAGCTCAATAGACATTTGCAAAAGGAATCGGATGGCTGAAACGACAGAAGACGGGTTCTCGGGGTTCACTGTGCCAATGGCACCTTGGGCGGTGAGCGACATCATCCACTCCTCAGCGGCGCTTGGTGACACCCGCACTGAGCGGTGCGTGGAAAGGGCCATCCCCCCCTTTTTTGTTGTTTGCTTTTTTTCTTGTTTGTTTTGAGATGTTACCGGCTCTTTTTTTTCTTTTTTTCCTCCTTTCCCCACCCTTTGTGTCGCCTCTAATAAAATAAATATGTATATTTGGAGGCTTTCACATGGGATACAGATAAAAGTAAAAACAAAAAAAAAGAAAAAAACAGTGGTAGTTTCAACAGATAAATGCCAAGAGTGAAGAAAAGTGGAGAATGTGATCGTGTTGCAAGCATGGGAGCATCATGGCACGTGAAACAAAAGCGACAAAAAAAAACAGGAAAAAAACATAAATCCCGATATTTATAACGTCGACAGGCCCGTGTATAATGTGCTGCACACCCGGACACAATGGGGCTCGTGTCGCCTAAATTGTACTGTTACTCTGCAAGCTCCTCAAGAACCTGCTGCACGGTAAGCTTGTATTCATTCGCAGAGCGCAGCATGTGTGCCGCAAGCTGGGCGACTTCCACCATGCCCTGCTCGTTCAGCTCGAGCCCATCCATGACGCGATGATATGCGTCCACATCAATCTTCTCATTCATGCGGGTTAGAATCGTTAGCACCTCATCCGACGTGAGTGCCCCGGATTCACGTGAGTCAAATACCTGAAATGCCGTTGCCAATTCCTTCTCTGAGCTAAAATCCTCCGCCTTGAGGATGTCCTTTTGCTCCAAGAATTTCTGAAACCCACTGCGCGTCACGGTGTCACAGGATGCAAAGTGATCATGGAGTAGAGTTTCCATCTCCGTTTGTGTAGAGATCATCCCGCAGGTTCGCAGTACGTAAGGAATACGTTTGGTGGGGATCCAACCGGCACGATCAGTGTCGTACAGGTCAAATATTTGCATCAAAGCCGCTTTGGGGACGGACATCCCACGGCCGGGCGGGGATGGTGTGGGAGAGCAAGTCAGAAACTACACTGTATACATTGGAGAGTGACAGAAATTGTGGTGAAGAAAGAAAGACCGTCAGCCACAGCGCGGTTGGAGATCAAAAGAATAATTGGCCCTGTTCACCCCATCAGGCAGGACACACACAAAAACACACACACACATTTTTTTTTTTTCTTAAATCTATTTTTGTTTGAAATCTCTTCTCATTTCTTCTTCAGGAAACTCATCTCGTCGTCATCGTCATCATCCATGTTGTTGTCACTCAACGATGACACCTCGGGATCGTTTGCTGCCATTTTACCCTCATTACGCAGAGCCATCATTTCATCTTCCTCCTCATCCTCATCCTCCTCTGGCACGACGCCGTGCCGCAGAAGGGCGGCTGCCATGGTCGACGTCGCCTCCGTTTCCGTGGGAATCACCTCAACCTCCTCACCATCCGCGATAATGTCCCACATGGACCAATACTTTCCATGCGCTACGGTCAGCACTGCACTCCCCGTACCACCAGCTGGACGGCATTGCGCTCGCACGGGGAAGGGGCCATGGAGCACATGCAGACACACACCCGCGGTGTCTGTGTCCCACAGTCGGACGCTGCCATCCAGCGATGTCGAAATAACGGCGGAGGGAAGAACAGAAAAGACAGGGTTGGCACAAAACGACACGGACGTAACGACGTCCTCGTGTCCTACCAAGATGCACGGTGCCTCTGCCGCTCCGCGTGACAAATATCGTGCGTCCCACAGGTGCACAACATTGTCAGCACCCCCAGATGCAAAACGGACTCCACAAGGCGACCATGAAACACAAGTGCAGGCGTTTAAATGACCACCATATTTTCCCGCCGTTGTAAAAGCCTCCATTCCACTTCTTACATCCCATGTTACCACACGGCCTGCCTTGTCTGTTGTGGAGAGGAGTGAGCCATCGGGATGGAAGCAGACATCAAGGGTCCCGCACGCCGCTTCATATCCATCTTGCTTCAACAGATGCCGCAGTTTCCCCGCGGGCAAAAAGGCAGCAGCATCCCAGAGGCACACAGTGGAATCATCACTTGTAGAGGCAAGTAATGAGCCTGTAGGATCCACAGCAAGGCGCTGAATGCATGCACTATGCTGTTCCTCACTTCTATCTACACGCTCAAGACCAACACGAGCAGAATGTTTCACGCTGCTGGCACTCACCACGGTGTTATTAGTCTTATTATCATCTCCATCAACAAACGACTCCCCTGTAATACGCCACACGGCAATGGTGTAGTCAAACATGGTGGTGGAAAAAACCAGGGGTGCTGCCGGATGCACAGCGAGGTGCCGGACCTGTCCCCAACCGCTGTCGCAGCTAGAGACACTCACAAGCGGCTGACAAGCATCCGTATTCCAAAGGGTCACGACGCCGTCAGCTGCGCCGGTGATGACGGTGTGCGGCAACATGGGCACAGCGGCGCATGATGTGAGCGGCATACAAAGAGTCCCCACGAGTGAAGATGACGCATTCCCACCATTACTGCCACTCCCATACCCCATCTTGACATTGCGGACGGACTTTGTCAGACGCATACGTCTCAATTGATTCACTGCCGTCTGATGGGTGGGTCGAACTACGGCTGAAGATGCCACAAACACCTCCTTTAGATTTGCAATACGACGTTCTGCACGTGTCATTGTCAATGGCAGCAATGCCCGGCGCCGCTCTACCAGCGCCGGTGATGCCAGCGAAAACTCCTCCTTGGTTCTCACAGAAACAAATGGGAGAGACGACGCATTATGACCCCTTCTTCCACCCTGCGAAAGAGGCAGTGATGCGGGGGCCATGAGCCGTTTATTACGAATTTCCTCAAGACTTCTGTAACCGCCCTCAATCATCAGTTTGAGCAAACGGTAACGACGTTCTGCGGCTGTCTCTGCAAACACGTGAATCGGGGCTTCAAGTAAACGCAGCCCCTGTTGCACTTCATAATCTGAGGAGGGAATGACAGGGTCTATCAGCTCCATTTGCCGTGCCTTTCTTTATTTGTGTGTATGTGGGTAATGAATCGAAAGAAAAGTAGGCAGGGAGGGGGCGCACTTCACTCGCTACTCCAGGCAGCCTGTGAAAGTTGCAAAAAAAAAAAAAAAGAGGGAGGAATCCAATGCAATACAAAAGAAGCGCATCATACCTGACACAAACACGCTGTGTAATATATATATAAAAAAAAATTATCAAAAAAAGAAGAGCATGAATACATACATGCATAGATGTATATGTTTATATATATATCTGTGTACAAATGGAGAGGAATAGGGGTAGGGAAGGAGAAGAAGAAGACAAAACCAAAAGAAAAGAAAAGAAAAAAAATTCCACTATTTCATACTATCCTTCAAGGGGTTTTGTTATTCAAAATTGAAATATCCGCACTTCTCCCAAACACCATCAACGCCATCAGAAACCATACATGTAAAAAGAGCATGTAAAACGCTGCGATAAGGCGAAGAACAGGTTGCCGTCGCAGGAGTCGACCAAAACGAATGGCAATGTTGTCCACTGTGGCTATCAAATCCACTACTAACATCGTCAACCTGCCTGTGGACGTCAGACGTCGGAAAGAAATCGGACGAAAATCCGCCGCGTCCCGCGTCAGCTGCTGCGAATTTGTGATGTTTACGCGTGTGGTACGCTCCTCCTCAAGCCGAAGTGTCGCACGCTCGCAACGTCGCCGCCACTCCGCCGCATCTCGCATGGCCGCCTCCAATGCATTCTGCTTCTCGAGAAGCTGACGAGAGAGAAGCAAATTGTCGCGCGAACCAGCATCATCGCCACGGAATGAAATAAGGGCACCGGCTGCAGTGAAGCTTCCACCATTTTTCTCTACTGCTGCCCGCAGCTCATTTAACTCCCGCTGCCGTCCCTGCAGCAACGCCTTGCTTCGCTGGTGTGCCGTCACTTCACTCTCAAGAGCCTCCTGTGCACCACGCAAGTCCAACTGCATAAATTCCAACTGTTGTGCGACCGCAATTCGTTGTTCGTGTGCCGCGTCCACTTCGCGACGACCAGCCGCAATCTGCGCTTCGAGTCGCTCTTGCTCTCGCCTCAAGGAAGCAATCGTGCCTGCTAACTCCTCCTCACGCTGCCGTGCTGCCACGTCTTTACTATTTTGGTAATTGTCCATTTCGGCACTACCTGGCGCATGTTTTCTCCTTTCCTGCTGCTCAACACGGCGACAAAGCTCTTCGTACTCTCGTTGCTTGTCCTCCAGTAATCGGCGAGACTTTGACTTGTGCTCGTCAAAGCGGGCCCTGACGGCGCGCAGTGACTCCTCCAACTGATGCACCTGTAGCGAACGTTGCAGCAGTTCTTGTCGTGCGGCCTCCGCCGTTGCCTGTTGACGCCGAACTTGTTGTGCAAGAACATCAATCTCTTCGTCTTTTCGCCTCAGGAGCGAAGACTCAAGATCTCGTTGAATCATTAGCGCCGCTGCTGCCGCCGTCGCTCCCTCCTCAACGTGATTCCACTTCCCCTGTAAGAAACCGCCTTCGTCCTCCGGTGAAACCGCGGCCGCCGTTGATTTTTTTGATGGCGCCATGCCTCCATTATTTTTGCTGCCGTGCGTCTCCGTGGGTTGGGCTGGAAACGGCGGTAAAGACACTTGGCTCCCCAACGCATGTGGTGCAGGATCATCCCCCGCTGCATACATGCCGTTTGTCGATCTCCCCTCATTGCCTTCTTCTTTTTCTTCCGATTTTTCCATCTCCACCTCCAGCGATGTCGCTTCCTCCCCCACCGCCTGCTGCCGCGCAAGTTGCCCTGCCCGTTCGTCAACGGCCTCCAGAAAGGCTGTCATACCACGAAGCATGTCTCCAGGAGCAGCTTGCCTACACCTCTTCCTAGAAACAATGGAAATAATTTCTCTGTGCAAAACTCACTATGCACATACGACTGCGCCGCAGTCAGTGGTTGGCCACTGGCAGTCATCACCAAAATACAGTGAAGCCACAAAAACAAGAAAAACAAACAAACAAACAAACAAAAGGCAGTCACAAACTCGTCAGAAAACATTAAGAGCCAATTTTTCCCACAAGCTTTTTGGGAGGCGTAAAAGAACAGTCAAAAAAAAGTACACTGAATGCATGTCCAAGAAAAAAGCACCAAAACAAACAAACAAACAAACAAAGAGACAACAACAAGAACAACACACACGCGAAGAAAAACCACAACCAACAATTGAAACAATATATTTATATATATATGCCTTATCTTTCAGCGGCTGCCGTCTCGTTGTCTCTCAGACCCTCCTTTTTTTCGGTTTTTATCGTTGCTTCCTCTTCTTCCTCCACTTCCTCTCTCAATCCGGTGTCGGCGTGATCCAACAACGGGGCGTAGCCCTCTGCCTCCGGATTATGCATTTCGTCATAATAATCTGCTGCCCCGTCACCATCATCACCATCAGCCATGGATCCTGCTGCTACCGTCGTGTTTTTGTGGGCGGATTCACGAATGACTGACGCAAAAGGTGCTTCGCCTGGACCGTCCAGCGCGTCTCGAATCAACTGATGAATAGCTGCAAGCACGTCTTCAGGACCCGCTTCCTCTTCTTCTTCTTCAGATTTCTTCAGCTTCTCTTCCTGTAGCTGCGTCCTTTTCTTGTCGATAAGCTGCTGGATCTTAAGAAAATACCCCATGGCGTGCTCGTAGGCGTGCTGCAAATTTGCAATGGCGCAGCAGAGATCTGAAAATTCAAGCTTCGCCTCACAGCTCGGATTGCCACATCTCTGTGCAGCGGTGATATGCATCTTATCAAAGCCACTGAGTTTCTCAGAAATCGCGATGCGCGCGGCCTCCTTCATGATCTCTGCCTGCAGCACGGGGTCTTCAAGAGTTTCCAGCGCCTGTAGGTGCAGCGGTAACGTCACGGTGCCTGAAACATTTATTGTCACGTCCGTCTTTGGGCCCAAACCGCCTCCCTCCATCTCCCTTCACACTCCGTGGAGATATTCTGTTGCACGCGAACAAACAAACAAACAAGACAGACAGACAGAGAGAGAGAGAGAGAGAAAAAAAAAAGAAGGAGGTTTCAAGCATACATGTCAACAGATCTCCGAAATAATACGAAGAAACAACAACAAAAACAAAAACAACAAATAAATAACAGAGAAGGGCGGTTGCCGCGAGGGAAGTGGCGAGCGTCAACTGCAACTAATAGACGGTGGAGGGGAATATATATATATAGAGGAGGTGAAGGGGAGACGATATAAATAAACGATAAAAACACACCCACAACAACAATTACAGGTGTCTTCTAATAATAAAATCCCCTCCTCTCCCCTTCCCCCACCTTCCCCCCCCCCCCCAAAAAAAAAAAAAAATAATAATAAATAAATAAATAAATAAATACCCACAAGCAAACAACAACAACAAAAGGAGACGCACAGACATGGGAGCAAGAAAGTAAAAAATAGTAAAATAAATAAATAAAAAGGGATGGGATTAACAAAAAAAAAAAAAAAAAAAAAAAAAAGGCGTACAGATTAAAAATAAAAGTAAAGATATATTAAAAAATAAATAAATAACAATAACTTTCCTCTCTCTCTCTCTCCCTCTGCATGTGTGTGTGAGTTTTAAACAAACAAACAAACAAACACAAAAAAAAAAGGCGTGTATTTCCATTTTCTTTTTCTTCCCAATTCAGTATTCTTCCTTTAATCCCCTCTTTATATATATTTACTTTCCCACACAATGTGATCTGTAGGACTACTGATCAAGTAGTGTCTCCATGTAACGCACCCCGCGAAAGCGGAACGTACAGCCGTACATGGACTCGTGTCGTGGAATCTCACCCTTTAGGTGCTCTGTCAGCCGTAACAGTTCCTTCCGTAACTCCTCCGCATGTGCGTCACTACCCAAACTCCCACTCTTGCTGTTGTTGTTACTGAATGAGCTCTTCTCTATTTCCTTCAGTCGATGCATAAGAAACTCTCGCCGCGTCACGACCTCTAGAATGGGTAGCTGAAGCTCCAGACGCCGTGTTTCCTTCTGTATCTCCAACGCACGCTGTGGCGGTGGTAACTGAGACCAGCGACGCAATGTCTGCTGCTGCTCCGCCTCTGGTAACTCCATCACGCACCACAGCTGATGCAGCTTCTCGTCATGCAGACCAAAAAACGCGTCCGCGCGATTGTTGCCATTCGACCCACCGTACGGGGTGCGCGGGGTCGCACGCAGGCACGAATGCAGGAACGACTCATCTCCCCCACGTTGATAATTTTGGGGTTGTTGTATCGAGGCAACTGGCGTCCCTTCTTGTGGCACCGCGTAACGCCCCAATGTTGGCGTGGGCGTGACATATGGCGAGGAAGTTTCAGTGTAATGACGTCGCCTCTCTTCGCGTGTTGTGAGTTCTTTGAGTAATCGCTGCTCCTCCTCGCCGAGGGCACGTCGTACCAATTCCTCACGTTCTGCGCGAAGAGCATCATGCATCTCCTTGTAAACATTTTCATACTTCAATTGCAACTCCCGCAACGCCTTCAACTTCTGCTCCTCGTGTGTGATGCGCAGCGCATCCATCTGAGCGTGCGCCTCACGGAGTTGATCCCCCAACGTGGCGCAGCGCTTCTGTTCCTCCTCCACCACACTGAAGAATGCCTGCAATTTATTTTCACACTCCATGCGTGTCTGCTCCGCGGTCTCACGTGCACGACCTTCCGTCTGGGCAAAATGCGTCGAAAGCATCTCATCCATTTCACTTCGCAACGCCGCAAGATTGTCCATGTAAAGGCGCTCCATATTTTGTGCCTTCTCCTCGCGCGCCTGCTGTTCCGCTCTTATTCGCTCCATTTGTTCTTCCATGAACGCAACGCAATTGGCCTCCATCTCCTCACGCAGCGTAGCTCGTTTCTCTTCCACACGCTGCTCCACATCCATGTCCAACGTGAGGTGCTCACGGAGCCGCAGTTCCATCGCCTTATGCATGGCACCCAAACTCTCTTCATACGTCTGTCGCAACGCCATTTCCTGCTCC